CCCTTTACAAATCTTTATTTTTTGCTCTTTTTTGCTCTATAAAAGAGTTGTTTTTCTTTTTCAATCACTCATCTTAGCAATAGAGTTTACATGAAAAGACAAACAAATTAAGTTTGCATGAAAATGTACATTTTTTGCACTCTCCTAGCAACTGACTCAGTGACTCAAATGACTCAAAACGCCTGATTCATTTTGGTGAGTGACTCATTCAAACTCAATTTACTAAAAGGAATCAAATTTACCATCACTACTAGTGAGTGGTTTACATCCGGCTCTTTTTAGAGAACCGGCTCTTTCTGCTCGCCTCACTAAAAAGAGCCGGCTCTTAACTCTGTGACGTACCGATACCGCTCTTTAGTTGTTTTGTTGCTATAATTAATTTAATTATTATTTACGAACAATTAATGTGAGATATTATTCTATCTAATATACACGCGAAATAACTTAAGTAAGAGAGAGAGTAAGTTGTTTTTATTGTATTATTAGAACTACTGGTATATATTATTAAAGTGATATGCGTGGGCGCGCCTTGAGGACAAAGAATACATAACGTACATCTACCTCTCGATAATCTATGATCTTCCTAGACGTCTCAACCTGTTGCTAACTTCCATTACGAGAGCTACCATGTACTGGCACGTCATTGTATAGTTTACCATTGACTTAAGATGCATCATCGATGAGAGACTCTGGCTCCCATTCTACTTTTAAATTATCTAGGAACAGCAAGTATGCTAGAAATGATAAATCCATGAACTAGTTTTTTTGTGTCACTCTTGAGACAGGATATTTCTAATTTTAGAGATATTGCACAATGGAAGAAAGCAGTCTTACATATTTGTTTAATATGTGCGTTGAAGGACATGTCCTGGTCAAAAATGACTCCAAGGTTCCTCACAGTGTTACTGGAGGCCAAGGTAATGCCATCCAGAGTAAGAATCTGGTTAGATACCATATTTCTAAGATTTTCAGGGCCGAGTACAATAACCTCAGTTTTATCTGAATTAAGAAGCAGAAAGTTAGCGGCCATCCAGGTCTTTATGTCTTTAAGACATTCCTGCAGTTTAACTAATTGGTGTGTGTTATCTGGCTTCATGGATAGATAGAGCTGGGTGTCATCTGCATAGCAGTGAAAATGTATGCTATGTCTTCTAATGATACTGCCTAAGGGAAGCATGTATAATGTAAACAGAATTGGTCCTAGCACTGAACCCTGTGGAACTCCATAATTAACCTCAGTGTGTGAAGAGGACTCTCCATTTACATGCACAAATTGGAGTCTATTAGATAGATATGATACAAACCACTGCAGCGCAGTACCTGTAATACCTACAGCATGTTCTAATCGCTCTAATAGGATATTATGGTCAACAGTATCGAACGCTGCACTGAGGTCTAGCAGGACAAGCACAGAGATGAGTCCACTGTCAGAGGCCATAAGAAGATCATTTGTAACCTTCACTAAAGCTGTTTCTGTGCTGTGCTGAGCTCTGAAACCTGACTGAAACTCTTCAAATAAACCATTCCTCTGCAGATGATCTGTTAGCTGTTTGACAACTACTCTTTCAAGGATGTTTGATATGAAAGGAAGGTTGGAGATTGGCCTATAATTAGCTAAGACTGCTGGGTCTAGAGATGCTTTTTGAGTAAAGGTTTAACTACAGCCAGCTTGAAGGCCTGTGGTACATAGCCGATTATTAGAGATAGGTTGATCATATTTAAGATCGAAGAATTAATTAATGGCAGGACTTCTTTGAGCAGTTTTGTAGGAATGGGGTCTAAAAGACACGTTGATGGTTTGGAGGAAGTAATTATTGAAGTTAACTCAGAAAGATCAATTGGAGAAAAAGAGTCTAACTTAACATCAATGGTACTAAGAGTAGCTGTAGATAATATTACATCTGTGGGATGATTATTGGTAATTTTTTCTCTAATGATTAAAATTTTATTTGTGAAGAAGTTCATGAAGTCATTACTAGTTAACGTTAAAGGGATGGTTGGCTCAACAGAGCTCTGACTTTTTGTCAGCCTGGCTACAGTGCTGAAGAGAAACCTGGGGTTGTTCTTATTTTCTTCAATCAGTGATGAATAGTAAGATGTTCTGGCTTTGCGGAGGGCTTTCTTATAAAGCAGCAAACTATTTCTCCAGGCTAAATGATGATCCTCTAAATTTGTGACACGCCATTTCCTCTCCAGATTACGAGTCATCTGCTTTAGGCTACGTGTTTGAGAATTATACCACGGAGTCAGGTACTTCTGATTAGAGACCTTAGTTTTCACAGGAGCTACAGTATCCAGAGTCGTACGTAGTGAGGAGGTGAAATTATTAACAAGATAATCGACCTCTGTTGGAGTAGCGTTCAGATAGCTGCTCTGCTCTGTGTTGGTACAGGGCATTGGAGATGATAACAGTGGGTGGATTATATTCTTAAACTTAGTTACAGCGCTTTCAGAAAGACATCTACTTTTACAACCATCGTCTCGGTCACAGAAACTGAGACGCTATCCTTCAAAAGCCTGTTAAGCCAATGTTCCCTCTAATGTTTCACGTGTCTGAGCGAACACACAAACTCCCTGAGCGTCCCTTGGACCACTGTGAGCAACAGCAGACGTGTGCACTGTGGTCACGCCAGCATCCAATCCATCCAAGTTACATGTTTATTAAAGTAATCAAATTACAGCTTACATTTATGTTAGACTACTTTTAATTAACTGCTTTAGCCCACTTACAATGAAAATTTAAAAAAATCTTGTTCCTGACCTGTGTAGCATGTTAACACTATTGGAAGTAAAAATAACTTGAACTCCAATTTTGAAAACACAACTTTCTTTTTTTTATAAAGCTCTGACTTGTATTATGAGTCTGTGGTCTGGGAGAGAGTCTGTAACTCTCTGTCTGCAAAATACAGTAAATAATGACCAATGTTGGGCAATTAATTATATACTTCTTCAAAAAAGTAACTGAGTTATGCAAACAACAAAGTTTTTTGCAGCTGTTTACCTAAAAATGCAGCCAAGGTTTTTAAATAAACATTTCAAACTATTTACAGAACAATCAGCTGTTCTGCATCAAATCTGATGCCACACAAATTATTTGTGCCACTTCCAAAAATAATTTCTGTCCACTATGAGATGAAGGAGAACAACAGCCTGATACCTGCAGGCCTGACAGCAGCAGATGTGTCACTGCTGTAACACCTGTAACACTCAGCAGGCGCCTCATTGTTCTGACACACACAACAAAACTATTGACTACACTACACACTAACTACACAAGATTTGCGCTAAACATCGCAAATCTCTCACATCTCAAAACACCGCCGTCACTCCTAAAACTTCCCCTTCGTAAACAACTAAATGCCATGTTGCCATATCATTTTTTGATTGGTCGACATGGTACATTTTTCGACCAACAGGAAAGGCTAGGGTTTCTTTGGGTTTTGTTCCTGCTCACAGGCGGAGAGCGTTTTTGAGCATTTTCCTTATAAAACACAGCTTTTACCGTTTCTTACCGCAGTAAATATAAACAACGATAGTATTCAGGAAGAAACCAAACATTGCTATGTGGAGTGAATAAATAAAAGTATATTTACGGTGGCCCCTCTGTGCTTGTTTCCAAAACCTTGTCTTCTGACTTTTTTCTCTTCCTTTCAGATCACTGATGTTCTTTATTTTTCTGAACCTTATGCTTTTTCACAGATTAAGGATGAATATTCACAACACAATTATGCATTAAGCAATAGAAATGCTATCCAGCCATTAAGTTTGATGTCATTATTTCCAGGTCCAAACTCCGCTGCAGATCCCAAAGTCAAAGGAACTCTGCGGCATCACTGAGAGTTACAAACTGTCTAAATTCTTTCATCTTTAATAAAATGATCAGTGTGGCTCTACCAGGTGTAACATCCAGGCATCCATGAAAACAGAATATATGAAATTTAACAGAGTTAAAGTTAGATTGCTTGTTTCCACCTGAACATGATACACCAGCTCTGCTACCACTTCCAACATAAATGGAGACAGAAAACTAAACAGCAGTGACTATTGTCAGGTTACTGAAGTTGGGCTAGCTGGTATATAGTGATGTGCTACGTGATTGCTAGCACACAGCTATGTTAGCATAACATAAACACAGTGAAGCTGGAGGATGAACGCTAACTTTTTTCCACTTGATAAAAGTTAACGTGAGGGTTCCCGATGGTTAGGCTGACAGTGATCACTGGCTGTTTTTAGGGGCTTGTTCAGATGTAATAGAACAAGATAAAAAGCATTAAAACATTTTAACAGCACAACAGGCTTAATAAACACAGAGTAGTTTGGGCCCGGAAGCAGGATTCATACATCATCACTTAAAGAACAGCTCTCGGGGCACAGCTAGCTCAGTAGATGCCACATGATCGAAAGGTTGGGCGTTCAAATCCAACGAACAGCAGGCTATCCTGGATTGGTAGCTGCCCACTGCATCACTGAGTGAATGGGTTAAATGCAGAGGACTAAGCATTTTCCTACAGGATTAATAATGTATACATAAACAATGAGATTCAAGATAAGACAAATTTGATAATATTTGACACATCTGTGAAGCAGAAATATCAGTAAAATACACAGGAGGTAATATATCTGAAATATTAGTAAAAAATAACTTAATATAAATGGTGAATAGCACACTTTTGTGGCATTTGTCAACACCATTAGAAAAAGGGTCAACACCGTCAGACAAAAATCCTGATGGTGTTGACAAAATACCCGACTTTCTCTCATAACACATGTTTATCTGACAGAAGCCATCTTGTTTTTCATCAGTTGCTTATGGCTTCTACAATCTACCTAAATTAAGCTCTTTTTACAAGAAAAAAAAATTAATCTTGGATTACATCGACTTTGGTGTTGACGCACTATGGTTGTGACACAGAGTTTTATCAGAAAGGTGTGCAATAAATGAAATAAAAACAAACAAATTATCACAGCAGTGACCTCATGGCATGTGCATCAAACAGGAAAAAAAAAAAAAGATGTGGACCAAGGTGTATTTTAAATCTATGGACATGCATGCGCTTATCATCTGCCCCACACGTTTCACGCCATAGTTACAGATTTTACGTTTCTATCGTATATGCTGCAGGGAAATAGACAGGGGTATGTATACCTGTTGGTATATAATATATTTTGAATAGTTTGTTCTTTTTGGACCACTCTCCTCTGGTTGCTCTAATGAGTAAGGGCCTCACAGCCCATTAGTATTTGGACACGTTAGGCATGTCTGCAGTGAAATTCCAGGACGACCTACGGGGCGACAGAGAAGAGGAGCAGGACAGCTAAGCAGGAGAATCAAGGGAGGCCGAGGATGTTCCAGGACCGTGCACTAAAGTTTCAGTGGAAAGCAAACTGAGTTAAACTGTCTCCATACCTAACCATAGCCCAATTTTAACCCTGACACTAAAACCACATTTTGAGTGTAAAAAATGCCTTCAACTGTGTGCAGACTGGGATTTTGGTCCCCATTAGGATCTGTTGGTCCCCACCAGTGTAGCAAGTTTCAGATTTTTGTCCCCACCAAGATAGGTCGATCTTGGTGGGGACAAAGATCGTGTGCCCCCCCACACACACACACTGTTGCTGGTCATTAATAAGTGGAGGTAATAAACTAACTCTTTCCTTACTCAGGTTCTATCTGAACTTTGTGACAGAGGAGGTGGACAACCCTGCAAGGTAAGTTTAATCCATGTGCTTACTCTTCTGGTCATGTAAAGTTATTTATGAATAATAGAATTTGAAATCTAAGGAATCATATTTCTTCATCTGTTAGACAAAAGTGGCTAATTTTACTGTGATTATTGTTTCTAATAAACAGCATTGGATCACGTGACTACTTTGAAGTGAAATGACTGTGTCTACTGTACCTGAGCCTTACACAGCATCTTGGTGTGTTACCAGTTACTATGGTTACTCATGTTAGAACAGGAAGGGTCCATCAACAAACTGCTGACTGACTGAACCCACTATGTGACGTTACATGCTCTACCACTTCATGGCTGAGTTACTGTTGTTCCACTTTGTCACTCTGTATTATTGTAGACTCTTTACAACATAAGTACTTTGAGGCAACCTTTGTTGTGATTTCATTCCTACAATATTCAGTATATACTGAACTGAATTGAGCTGATTTGAATTGAATTGAAGTGAATTCATCCTGTTGGCATATCTGGCACATGTGAACATTATTAGATACCGTTTCCTCTGCGTTCACAGTGACGTCTCTTCTGTTTTTAACAAAAAAAATGCAGAGTACTCTGATTGTTTTGTGCTGCCTACCAAAGAATTAGCACAAAAAGCAAAACTTTGGAGCTGTTGTAGCTAGCAGAATTGATCAGCCCAATAGTAGGTGGTACATTCTGTTTACGTCTCTTAGAAAGCTGTACAGATGGAGCATGTATGGAAGTAAAACAGACATAGATATACAAGGGAAAGAAGGATGAGTAAGTCTTGCAAGTGCCTAACAGTGTGCTCCCTCCGGCCCTCAGGACTGTTCCACTCGCCATCTGTATCTCCATGGCAATTGTGACTTCTTGCTATGTGCTCACCAATGTGGCATACTACACTGTAATGTCAGCTGAGGAGCTCCTGGCCTCATCAGCTGTTGCTGTGGTAAGTACTTGGAAAAACAGTGTAAGTACTGAACCTTTAAAAGTAACTGTCACTTATCCGTCTGCCTTAAATATTGTATTAGGAATAAAATAAAAAAGCAAAAACCAACAACAGTAAAACAGCAACACAACTTTATAAATGTACGTTTCCCCGCATGAGTCCTCAATCAAGGCCATACACACTCAAAGTGGGACCCCTCACCCATGTCTCTTATTCACAAAATATCTGTATCAGCTTAGTGTATAATTATAATGTAACTAAATACATCTGTAGTGAAAATGATTCTACCTTAAAGCACTAGTTAGATTTTTTTTAATGATATGTGTTTGGGAAAGAATCAATAGATTGTGTGACAGTGCATTTATTATAGCACAGTCATTCATTTAGAGACCCATATTATTGTTTCTGTCCTGAGCTCTGCATGTACCGTAACATGCCTGTAAACAGATAAGGATGTTATGGGTAAGAATGATTGACATAGAGCAGACAATGCACACATCCCCTCATCTAAAAAAATATATTCTGTAGAGCTTTGTAAAGCATCCCAATTGGCTAATAATCTGACTGGCTAATCAGTAATAAATAAGCAATGCTATTAACTTTGTTGACAATTTGGTCATAAAGCAAAATATTCAGCAGAAAAAAATAATTTAGAGAAATATGTAAACGAGAGAGACATCTATGCCTGAACAAAATGTAACAATTCACACATAAAAACATAGATCAAAAGCTCACGATTCACTAGAATAATCAAAGAACTACATTTTGGGGCATTACTTTGGGTAAACACAAATAACTAACAGTCACAAAAATTCAGAGCTGCTTAAACAAGTGTTGTAAAATGCCAATCAGCATCAAGGTGGTAGAAATAGGGTGTGTTCCCAAGTCAGAATTTCCAAGTTCCCAGTTGAAATGTGAATCTGGAATAACTCAACTTCCCACTCGTAAAGTCAGAGTAGCCACAATCCACAATGGCAGAACTGAACGTAAACAGCAGCAAAACTGTAACATTTCCACTAGTGGATATTTGTGACTCATTAAATAAGCCATTTCCAGACTGCAAGGTATCTGCAAAGCAGGAAGACGCCATCAGGGCTGCTGGGCAACTATTGTATGAACTAGAAACTTTTGGGGGCTATTTTGTGTCTGAATCCTCACCACTATTGGGAACGCTATGTAGCTCTATTTCTGAGCATTCAGTTGGCCACACAGTGGAAGATCCCATGTTTGCAGCTTTGTGTTTGTTGTCATAAGGACAGTGGATTTGGAAGCTAAGTTGTTCTAATAAATTAATATGTTATGGTAACCCTATCTCTCTAAAAATCAGAAAAACTACTTTGAAGGCTTTTTGTAGTTACTGTTAAACTAATCAGGAAATGTGAAGCCAACCTATATGGGCTATAACAAAAACTTGTCACAGACAGGCAGTGTGCAGGAACAGGGAAAGTTCAATAAAGCAACGAGAAAAGCAAAACTTTGTTATGTTATATGTGATATCAGTAGCTTATATTAAGCTGAAATTATGGCAGTGGCTCCTTATTTGATAGTGAAATATATCTCACAGTGTGTTTCACTGTAAGGGCTGACCTTGGCTCTCTGCAGTAAAACGTTGTGCATGCTACTTGAAAGCATTTAGTTGAGGTCTCACCTCCGTGGTGTTTACTTCTGGCTTGAGCAGTGCGGTTGCCTTCCTGCACTTAGCATGTCATTATCAGCAAAGTGTCTCTGACAGCTTGGCTTCCCAGCAGCTGTTAATGTGATTGTTCCATCCCAGCCCTGTTAATGTTAATCACATCACAGACATTCCCCAATAATAACCACTGTTGCTTATTAGACTGAGGATAGCGATCAGAGATCGCTGGTCTTTTGTAATGCAGTTAGTTTTATTGCCCTGTGCACAGAGAGTGATAAAAGCACCTTAAGACAGGTGTTAAGAGCATTTATGTGTTCTTAGAAGGCTGTGATAGGATAAAAGCATTAAACTAAGTTCTTCCTCTCTCATAGACAGCGGGCAGAAGTTTACATCTCAAACTTGATTACAGAGTTTAACTGGTGTCTAGAACTTATCTCGAAGAAGCTTGGCTTGAGGCACGATTAGTCATTTTAGGCTTTTTGAATTAGAGGTGTGTTCACATAATGGAAGAGTGATGAATGGAATAGGCTGAAGTCATATATAAAGATCGTTTTTATTTAGCATTTACCTCAATACACTACCACAAAACTTGGACATTTTCAAACGTACACCCAGGGCTCCTAAAACTTTGGACAAAGGTACAAGTGCAGCAAATGTTTAGAAATGAAACTGTACTAATGTGGACCTTGTGTCCTTCAAAAACGTGTACTACATGTATTTAAACAGAACCTTTAAAAATAAATGTTCCGCTTTCATTTAGTTCCTCTGACTAAAGATAATCCCTCTGCTTTTTAAACAAAGGTCTTGCACACCAAACAACTAATAGTGTCTGTTAGTTCTTCAAAGCTCTGGTCATGCTACTGTATGAATCCTGTATGCAGGGTGCAGCTTATCTCTGAAGGGTGGAGTGCTGCTCCTGCTTGGTCAGTGTTTAGTTGATTGACTGCAAGTGTAACCTTACATCCAATGGTGTTTTCAGTTACAGTCTGCCTGACTATTCTTCGGATGCAACTGATCCAACTTCCATGAAGTGTTTTAAAGAAAGGCCGTCGTTCAGCTCTGATGTTTTCACATCGTTTTGTTGGCCTTTTTCCTTCTACCACAGTGCTGCTTCGTCACCAACATTGTACTGAAAATATTAGAAAACTTTAGTCAACACTTCCTGCAAGTTGATTTATTCGAGCTAGTCTCAAATACACCTGTCACCTGAACACTGCTTTCCATCTGACATTCAATACAAACAAATGACCAACAAACGCTCATCTGTCTCCCTTTATGTCCTCTTTGTGAAATCCACAGACATTTGCAGAGAGGCTTCTGGGGAACTTCTCTATCGCCGTCCCAGTATTTGTAGCCTTGTCCTGCTACGGCACCATGAATGGCTGCGTCTTTGCCCTGTCAAGGTAAGGTTCGTGTCACTGCTAAAACACCTAAAGTATGTATGCCGATGTGCTCACGACAGAATCCTGTAGCAGTTAAACAAAAGTTCTAACTTTGCAATAATTTGTGGTATTAAGTATACTTATACTGTGTGTGTGTGTGTGTGTGTCATGTGTAGGGTGTCAAATACATCAGTTTTGTCAAAGTTGCTGGTGGTGCACACAAGGTGTCCTTAAGCATCTGTGCTACGGTGCAACAAAAGTGACAATGATTTAATGAATTTAAACTTTTCCTAAACCTAATCAAGGAATTTTCAGAGTGTCACATTAACCAGCAAGTAAAATCTGAACTACTCAGAGAGGGAAACAAAGGACACCTCTATCTTTTTCTCTCTTTTTTTGTAAACTAGCATTTATTGTAAAATATGCAGGCACAGTTAGTCAAGCAGGTTGTCTTTTCAAATCTTTGAACCTACACACTTGAGGCATTTTTAATGGGAATGAGAAAACTGCCCATGGGAATATGTTTTATGTTGAAAAAGAGCTGATTTTAATCATACAATGTGACTGTGTTGATTATCAAGTGAATGTCATGGTGTCTCTCCTCATTTTGTCTGTCATAATGTGTGTGTTCACCAGAATGTTCTACGTAGCTTCACGTGAAGGCCAGCTCCCTGAGGTTTTGTCTATGATCCATGTCCGCAGACACACTCCACTTGCAGCTGTTCTCATAATGGTCAGTTTACTAACATAAGCATTTCATTTCAGACAATATACTAAAGGTCACAAAAACTAATCTTTGAAAGGGACGACAACATGAGCTAATAGATGTCATGAGTCCTGAAAACAATTCTGTCTGAGCTTTCTGCACTTTTTTGGACAAAAATTGTAGGAAGGTTAGAGATTCAATTCAGTTTCACTGATATAGAACAACATCCTAACGACAGTTGCCTCAAGGTGTTTTATATTATAAGGTAAGACCCTACACAAATACAGAGAAAATCCTGATACTCAACCCCTTATGAACAACAGTGGGAGGGAAAACTCCCTTTTACCAGGAAGAAACCTCCGACAGAATCATGGTCATGGAGGGGTGGAGCCATCTGCAACAACTGGTTGGGGTGAGAGAAGGAAGACAGGATAAAGACATGCCGTGGAAGAGAGACAGAGGTTAATAACAGGTATGATTCAGTGCAGAGAGGTCTGTTAATACATAGTGAGTGAGAAAGGTGACTGGAAAGGAAAATCTCAATGCATCATGGGAATCCCCGGCAGCCTACGTCTATTGCAGCATAACTAAGGGAGGATTCAGGGTCACCTGGTCCAGCCCTAACTATATGCTTTAGCAAAAAGGAAAGTTTTAAGCCTAATCTTGAAAGTAGAGATAGTGTCTGTCTCCTGAATCCAAACTGGAAGCTGGTTCCACAGAAGAGGGGCCTGAAAACTGAAGGCTCTGCCTCCCATTCTACTTTTAAATACTCTAGGAACAACAAGTAGGCCTGCAGAGCGAGAGCGAAGTGCTCTAATAGGGTGATATGGTACTACAAGGTCATTAAGATAAGATGGGGCCTGATTATTTAAGACCTTGTATGTGAGGAGCAGGATTTTGAATTCAATTCTGGATTTAACAGGAAGCCAATGAAGGGAAGCCAAAACAGGAGAAATCTGCTCTCTCTTTCTAGTCCCTGTCAGGACTCTTGCTGCAGCATTTTGGATTAGCTGAAGGCTTTTCAGCGAGTTTTTAGGACATCCTGATAATAATGAATTACAGTCGTCCAGCCTGGAAGTAATAAATGCATGAACTACTTTTTCAGTGTCACTTTGAGACAGGATATTTCTAATTTTAGAGATGTTGTGGAAATGGAAGAAAGCAGTTCTGCTTACTTGTTACCCACCACAAGTAAATTAGCAACCAGCAGCGTCTTTAAGATAAGGATAAAATGATAAAATGGGGCCTGATTTATTTTCTAGAATTTTATTCTCATATTAAAATATCAATAGTAGTAATTTGGGGTAAATTTGTAGTTTATCATGGAGTAGAAACATAGTGGAAAGTAACTAAACTACCAGTCAAAAGTTTTAGAACACCCCAATTTTTCCAGTTTTTGTCAAGTCTGACTGAACGGATTCAGGGAAAAGGTTTAAGGGATAATACACTAACTAAGAATAGCACAATATATACAAGCATATATATACACATAAAAGTCACTTATAAATAAATAGCTGAAAATGAACATGTGCAAAAAGGGTGTAGCTGTTGCAGTAAACAGTGTGTTAAGTGGAGGAGTTGTACAGGGAGCCACAGGCAGGAAAGATTTCCTGTGTCGTTCAGTGGTGCTTTTCGGTGATCTCAGTCTCTCACTGAACGTGCTCCTGTGACTAACAAGCATGTCATGGAGTGGGTGGGAGATGTTATCCAACACTGTCTTTATCTTGGAAAACATCCGCCTCTCTGACACCACCTTGAGGGAGTCCAGCTCCATCCCCACAACATCACTGGCCTTACAGATCAGTTTAACGAGTCTATTGGCATCTGTGACCCTCAACCTGCTCCCCCAGCATGCAACAGCATAGAGGATCACACTGGCCACAACAGACTCGTAGAAATCCTCAGCATTTTCTGGCAGATGTTGAAGGACCTCAGTTGCCTCAAAAAATAGAGATGACTCTGGCCCTTCCTGTAAAGTGCTGTGGTGTTTTTAGCCCAGTCCAGTTTATTGTCAATGTGTACTCCAAGGTATTTATAGTCCTCCACAATGTCAACACTGACCCCCTGGTTTGAAAGAGGGGTCAAGTGTTTCCTGGTCTTCCTGAAGTCCATGATCAATTCCTTGGTCTTTGCCATGTTGAGCTGCAGATGATTCTGCTCACACCACGTGACAAAGGAGTCGACCACAGCCCGGTACTCTGTCTCATCATCCCTGCTGATGCACCCAACCACCAGTCATCAGGAAACTTCTGAAGATGGAGGTCTCTGTGCAGTGGCTGAAGTCTGTGGTGTAGAGGATGAAGAGGAAGGGGGAGAGGACAGTCCCCTGTGGTGCCCCTGTGTTGCTGATCACCTTGTCAGACACACACTGTGGGAGACGTACATATTGTGGTCTTCCTGTCAGGTAATCAACAATCCAGGACACGTGGTATCTTTGGAATAGGGACGAGGCATGATGTCTTCCACATCACTGGGACCCTCTGCAGACTCAGCATAAACAGTTTATGAAAGAATCCACACAGCTGGGGGGCACAGGTCTTGAGGACGAGGGGACTCACTCCGTCTGCTCCAGCAGACTTGCCTGAGTGAAGACTCCTCATTTGCATCTCGACCTGGTATTGAGTGAAGGTGATGGGTGGAGGAGGGGTGTCAGGAATCTCACAGGAGGTCACAGTGCCATGTGGAGAGAGGCTGGCACAGTGGTGTGGCTCTGGGTTCCAGGCAGACTACAGGTGAGGTTGTGGGGGTGGGAGCAGACACTGTGGTGTCGAATCTATTGAAAAACAGATTCAACTCTTTGGCTCTATTCTCAGCTCCCCTGCTGTTGGTTGGCCTGAATCCAGTGATGGTCTTCATGCCCCTCCACACCTCTCTCATGCTGTTCTGCTGGAGTTTCCACTCCAGCTTCCTCCTGTAATTGTCCTTAGCCTCTCTGATCTTGTCCTTTAGTAACACCTGGATCTTCCTCACCTCCTCTTTGTTGCCCCCTCTGAAAGCCCTCTTCTTGTTGTTGAGGAGGGCTTTGATGTCCTTAGTCACCCACGGCTTGTTATTTGGGTAACAATGAACAGTCTGAGCTGGAACAATGGAGTCGGTGCAGAAAGTTATGTAGTCTGTGATACACTCAGTAAGCCCATTGATGTCCTCGGCGTGAGGCTCACAGAGTGTTTCCCAGTCGGTCACCTCGAAACAGCCCTGTAGTTCCACTAAGGCCGCCGACAGGTCTCGCACGCCACAGCTGCTCTATCACGTGACGCATACTGCTTCGACGTGCTAAGGTTATGAGCTGGGTTACACTATGTCGCAAGTTTTGTGAGGTGCTTTTGTAATATTTAATGGATCGGATTCCATTTTTTATTTCTCTACGATATCAGATCCAGTAATTTAGGTCAGTATTAGACCGATACTGATACGTAATATCAGATCGGTCCATCTCTAGTCCATACCAGAGGGTATTGCATGGCAATCCAGAATGCTGCGACAGCCATTTTGTTTCAAGGCTCCTATCACTGACCCTAGATCCAGTAAAACAGCCTGTGAAGAAGGAACCAAAGATTTCAAGTTTTGATTCATCAGTCCATAAAGCCTACTGTAAATCCACACTGTAAATACACAGTCTTGACTGATGGAAATACAACCGTCTTGTATGTGTGTGTGTATTTGGATGTGTATGTGAATGTACAGTACCCTATGACCATGCTCCAGCTGTTAGTTGGAGACATCTACAGTCTGTTGAACTTCATGAGCTTCCTGCGATGGCTGTTCATCGGTGTGGTGGTGCTGGGTTTGATCTACCTCCGATACACAAAGCCGGACCTCCCCCGCCCTTTTAAAGTCAGTATTTCCACACCACTATGCAGCTATATCTGAACTTTGCAGTTATATATGCAATTAACCTTTTATGCATCCAGATACAGTGCTGTGTAAAAGTATTTGCCCCGTTTCTGATTTCTTAGTGTTTCCTACATTTGTCACACTTATGTTTCAGATCATCAAACAAATTGCATTTTATATTTTAAAAATAATTAATAATAATAATAATGGATTGGATTTAAATAGCGCTTTTCAAGGCACCCAAAGCGCTTTACAATGCCACTATTCATTCACTCTCACATTCATACACTGGTGGAGGCAAGCTACGGTTGTAGCCACAGCTGCCCTGGGGCAGACTGACAGAAGCGAGGCTGCCATTTCGCGCCATCGGCCCCTCTGGCCAACACCAGTAGGCAAGTAGGGTAAATTGTCTTGCCCAAGGACACAACGACCAGGACAGAGAGCCCAGGGATCGAACCGGCGACCTTCCGGTTACAGATACGCTTCCCAACCCCCTGAGCCACGGTCCCCTAAACCTAATCACTGGTTGTGACACCCTTCACAGCAAGAACTACCACCAAGTGTTTGTGTTGTCATGCTAAAGCTTCGCAGTTTTCTCAGTCCTGACTTTGACAAGGCTGCTCCAAAGCCTTCATTTATTAATTTATTTTTGAGCCATTCAGGGGTGGACTTGCTGGTGTGTTTTGGATCATTGACCCACTGCATCATTCAAGTGTGACTGCTGAACATTCTCCTTCAGGATTTTCTGGTAGACAGCAGAATTCACCGTTTGATCAATCATGGCAAGTTGTTCAGCTCTTAAAGCTGCCCCAGACCACCCCGCTACCACTATCATGTTTGACTGTTAGTATGATGCTCTTTGTATGGAATGGTGTTACACCAGATGTAACCATGACTCAAACCTTCCAAAAAGGTTCAGCTTTCGTCTTGTCAGGGAACAGAATCTTTTCCCCAAAATCTTGGGAAAAGACTCTCGTCAAGTTAAAGATGAGCTTTTGTGTTTTGTTTGGTCAGCAGCTTGGAACTCTCCCATGGATAGCATTTTGCTTGGTCTCTTTCTTATTTTTGATTCATGAATTGAGGCCTACAGTCCTTTAGATGTTGGGGTGATGCTGGATGAGTCTTCAATGCACTCTTGAAGATTTTGGTAGACCAGCTACTCCTGGAAGGTTCACCACTGATCCAGGTTTTCTTCATTTGTCCATAATGGCTCTCTCCGGGGTTCACTGTTTTCTCAAAGCCTAAGAAATAACTTTAGCCTCTTTTCCACTAGTACCTACTTGACTTGACTCTACTGCGTTTCATTCGTTTTCCATCACAACTGAGTACCACCTAATGTGCATGGATTCACTATAGCAACTGTGTTTTCATTTGTATGAAACATAAACCACCACAACAAAAGAGGATGTCAAGGCGATTGCATATCTGCTGCTCGATCTGTGGCTTTTTGTCAGACTCGGGGACCACTTCCTAGTTTCAAAAGTTTTTGTGAAGGAATTGCTCTCATGACTCATTGAGTGATGCCATAGATTGGCCAACAGCTGTCATGAAGTCTGCTGAAGTCACAGTTTCGGATTGACTCAGCTTTCTTGGAATAAGCAGGTACTAAGAAAGTACCCAATGGAAACCCCTAAATGTTGAATCAAGCTGAGCCGAGCTGAGTTGGTACTAGTGGAAAACCATTTCCCAGACTGATAAGTGTCACTGAGTTTGTTCCTTAGCTCTGATGTGTTGGCCTTCACATCTAGTACTGAATTTCCCGGAGGAACCCACCCAAGGGATTAATAAAGTTTCATCTAATCTAATCTAATCTAATCTAATCTAATCTAATCTAATCTATTAGCCTACTTTACTTTGTCAGACAGGTTCTAATTACGTGATTTCTTGATTCAGCAGGTGTGACAATAATCAGGACTGGGTCTAGTAATGAAAATTCACTCAAATTTAATTGTGGTTAATTACAGTTAATTCATGATTTACCAAAGAGTGCAATGACTTTTTCACAAAGGGTCAAATAGGTTTTGCCCTGAATAAATAAAATCATTGTTTAAGACCTGCATTTTGTATTTACTCAGAATATCTTAGTCTAATAACAAAGTTTGTGTCATGATTTAAAACATGAAATTGTGACATAAATACTAAGGAACTGTGAAGGGGACAAATACTTTTTTCACAGCACTGTAGCTCTTACATTTTCCTCTGAAATTTTAAACACAAAACATTCAATCAGTTCTGCAAAATCCTGACTTTTCACCATCTTTGTGTGTACAGTATATAATTTCACTGTTGATTTGTCCGCAGGTTCCACTGTTTTTTCCAGTGGTGTTTTGCATCACATGTTTCTTCATGGTGTTCCTGTCTCTGTACTCGGACCCTGTTAACACAGGAATTGGATTTGCCATTTCCCTCACTGGCATCCCTGCATACTACATCTTTATTTACTTCAACCACAGACCAAAGTGGCTTCAGAGGACTTTAGGTAACACATCATTAAGTTACTGATGGGTCACTTGATTAAGCTGCAAACATGAAATTAATAAAGCACTATTTGTCAATTATTTATTTAATAATGGAAGTGATCTGTAGTGTAGTAGTAAATTCACCTGAGATGGAAAAGATCCCCAGTTTGGTGGGGAGGAAGCACAAATTCCTAGGAGTGTTATCATCCACTGTAAGAATCTGTCAGATAAAACATGTGCATTAATCCACAATGCCACCCCCCTGTGAAAAATATCGACCACCCAAAAGAAGTTTTTCTTTTTCCTCCTTTAATTCTGAAGTAATCCATCAAGGTCTCAAATACATATTTCATGGTTCAGATTGAAGTGAATGCAATTTTTGCATTTCATTTTTAAAATCAAGGTTTTTGAGTCTGGCGAGATACTGGAGAGGCACAAAATCAAACTCGAGTGTGAAAGTTTGGACAGTCTTTCATTACTTTTTGGGGTGCCGTGTCATCTAGTGATGGGATTTCCGGCTCTTTTTAGAGAACCGGCCCTTTCGGCTTGGCTCACTAAAAAGAGCCGGCTCTTTCGGCTCCGAACCGGCTCTTCAGGTTGTTTTGTGCTTTAATTTATTTATTATTAACAACAATACAAAATTATGCACAAAAGGAATTACTAATGTAAAAAAAAAAAGTGGATTCATTTACATATGTTTATATATAAATATATATGGTGGCCCCTAGAGACAAAACACGTACGAACTCCAAAACACATTTCTAGCGTTAACTGAACTTCAAAACAGAATTACCAAGATCACTTAAAGTACACAATTGAAAGCATGTGTGTATTGTTTGTGTATTTATACACAAGCACTCAAATATATTCAAATAATTAAAAAAAAGGGTTCACTTACCTGCTACTACCACACAACAAATCCGGTCGTTTGTACTTCCTGGCTTGTGTAGCCACCAGGTAACAAAAGCTCAACACTGCGCCCTAGCATCCTGGAGCACTTCTGTTGTGTTTTGTGCGTGCTTCGGAGTTTTTACGTGTTTTGGAATTTTTACGTGTTTTGAAGTTTGTACGTGCTTTGTCTCTAGGGGCCACCGTAAATATACTTTTATTTATTCACTCCACATAAAATGTAATAAATAAATCATATAATACAAAAACCAACTATTCACATTTCAACTTTTAACTGTTTAAATTTTCAGCTTTTTCCTTTTACAAATTTAAAGTGAAACAACACAAAACACTACAAACCACAAGAAAATGCATATTCTCTGTCATATGGACCTGCATGAATAAACTTTCTGAATCCTTTATCATCTGCAACTAAATATAGTTGTGCATGATTGCTATACCTTTCTAATGTGACGTTGTTGTCCCTGGCTCTCTTTCTCTCTCTCTCCCTCCCTCCTGCTCTGTTCCTGTGCTACTGACTAACTACCGCCCCTCCCCCCTCTGCCCAGCGTAAAGCACAAGGCTCGCGTGCGGAGTGAAGCGAAAAAAGTGTGAGAGAGAGGGTGAGAGAAAGAAAAAAAAAAAACACTGCTTGCGATAAGGAGCCGGCTCGCGTTGTTCACGTCAAAGATCCGGCTCTAAGAGCCATTTCGTTCGCGACCGACACATCACTAATGTCCTCTGCTGGGGTTGGTCTTTGTTGGTTGGTTGAGTTTTATCAAGTCCATTGATCTACTGAAAAAGTTGGTTATTGAACAGGACGACCGGTTATTTACAAGAAGTGTTATTGAACTGGATCCAGTGTTACTCTCCTGGTGTGATGCTTCTGTCTTGAGCTGAAACTTTTTCTTCAACTTGAAGAGACCTCCAGCACTACAGACTCGGGAAATAAAAACTGTAAGGAAGCGCAAAACTCAAGGTCAAGAAAGACACAGTAAAGGATAGAGTACAAATAAATATGCACAATGTGTGTTTCCGTATCTGTAAGAAAAACGAACATACATATCAGAATCAGAATACTTTATTAATCCCTAAGGAAATGATGTGGGTTACAGTGTCTCCAGTACAGTAACAGAAAGAGACTAGACTATTTAACAATACAATATGTTACAGATTTAAGAAAAAGCACAATATATACAAATCACTCAATAATTATATAATAATAAATATCAAGGATTGACAGAGGCGATTATAAATAAATATCAATAATATTGACAGCAACATTACGGTGTGTTCACACCGAACGCGATGGACGCGAACAAAACGCCCCAAACGCCCCTAATTTAACGAGTGTCCAAGAAAAATCCATTTTGATGCGCGTGAACCGGAAATGTGGGAGGAATGTGGGAGGGAGTTGTGCCAGACCGGTATCTTTGCAAGATGGCAGCTGTCGAGCTAGCGCTTGAAGAGAGAGTCTCCCTTCTCTATGTACTTTGGAGAGCAGAGCAGCGGCGTAAAAGACGTCCTCGCCGTAACTGGGTCCATCAGGTCCTCCAGAGGCGTGAGCAGTTTGGTGAGTTTCACCATTTGCTCCAGGAGCTGCGCCTGGATGACGGCCAATTCCAGCGCTATCACCGTCGGCCAGTTTGAGGACCTGCTTCCCCTCGTCGGTCCCAGCATCGCCCGCCTAGACACCAACTACAGACGCTCAATCCCACCTGCAGAGCGCCTGTCCGTCTGCCTGAGGTTAGTAAAACTATTTAATACGGAAGTCCTTTCTTGATACCTGTGCTAAT